TAAACAATATTGTCGGCAGATGTGTCAGCAAGCGAACGGATTTTTAGTAGAAATTTTAAGGAGTATGGCGCGTTTTCAAGAAAGTGTCGCGAATGAGCTTTGCTTCATCACCTCTAAGAAAGCTGAATATAAGCTTCTTTTTTGGGTATATATGGATATCGTCGTCATAGTGTGGTTCCTTAGATTTATTGTTGAGTGTCAATGTGAGGGTATCAATTTCATTGGATGTATTTGTGACAAAATGTTCATTCGGGCTCGCATACAATTATGCACAATGAGATTGACGTTAATGTCAGCGTACGCATACCTACCCACCCTTTTGGAACATCGGATACGAGCTGTGTTGAAGACTGTAGATCGGAAGAAAAAACGGAAAGGGCCGAATATGCAGTCGAGGGTCAAGCGAGTCACACAGACGAGCGTTACTTGTATTTTTCTAGAAATAAATTTCGATATAAAATTTAAAACTTGAAAATCGAAAGAGAAACATTTCATTATTAAATAAAAAAAGAATGAGTTTCGTTATACATTATTGAAATTTAATGATAATGAAAAATAAATTACTATAGAAAATCTACTACTAATATATTCTTTCAAAGAACAAATCTGTTATATTGATTAGAGATGAAATATTAAATAAAGAGAAAAGATTCTAATTTCTACATGATATACGACATATAGGGTAGATAATATCTATTTGAAGATAGAATTTTCATTTTCTTCAATATCATTATCATCGATAGAAGTAAAAGAAAATGTAATTTTTACAAATAAATTATCGAATTACTTTTATTATCTATTTGGGTTTTTGTTTGTTATCGATTTTATTTTGATTACTAGATTATTAGTGACCGTAATGTAAATAATCGATGTTCATATTCTTTTCGTTATGTGGTACTTCTAAAAATTAGAATAAATCTATCGAATAAAATTTGATTCATCTAATATCAAGTAGTCATTTTGTTTTTTTTTATTTAAAGTACTTTCGTGCAAAAGATTTATTAAATGTTTTCTTTTTATATTATAATTATGAAGAAATAATAAGATTATCATATAGACAATACGTGAAATAAGTCGAAACATAAAAATATTTTCTTAATTTATCTAATTAAAATATTAAGACAAGAAGAAAAAAAACATGATGATAAAGAAGTTGTCTTGTATTAGCAATTTCCTTTTTTTCTTTTAGAATTACAGATTTGTTTGAATATAAAAATTTGTACGCAATGCTCTAATGAAAATTGTAACTAAAATCATAGTATAATCATATTTCAAAATATAGAAAAAAGAAACTTATAGATTTTTTTTAACCGTTGAAAAAAGATATGAAATTATGAATAAAAGATTTTTCTTTTCAAGTTCTTCTTACAAGCTTTCTAATAAAAAAAGGACATTCAATCTAATATCAACAAAGTGAATGTTTCATTTCTAAAAAAAACTCATTCTAATCGAACATCAACTACATTAGATTATAAGATTTATGTTTGTAATTTTCTTTTTTTTTTCATTAAAAATCTAAATATGTTTTAATTGTACTTTATAAGGTAATTTTATTTTGATGGAAAAACTTATAAATAGAATTTATATTATATAATTTTCAGTTCATAGAACTAAACTATCTGAAAAGTTTTGAGAGTGACATTTTTATTTATTTTTTTTTTTTTTAATTTTTTTTTGTAAATGAAAGTGTCATTTACAAGAAAGAATTAAAATTGTTTTCTATAACTATAAAAGTATTACTTTCAAGGTAGAATAAAGATTTCTAATGACTGAAAGTATTATTCACTAGAACATAGTAATAATTTTTTGTTTTGAACGATTTAGTTCTAAGTAACGATCGATTAGTACCCAAATCAAAAATGAAATCAAAGAAGTATACGAACTATTTGAGTAATTCAGTTCGTATGAAAAATTAGAACTGTTCTTAGATTTTAATTATAGAAATGAAATATAGAGCATATTGACAAAAATATTAAAGATAAAGTAAATGGATGAAAAAAACAAAGACAAGAAAAATATCGATTGTAAAAAAAAAAAAGAATAGAATAGAAAAACAAAAACAGATTTATATTCATTATCTTATGGGGAGTAATATGTATAATTAGATAATCTTTTTATTTACTTAACCTTGTCCGGTCGGATGTTGTCAAATGGCAACATTTTTTCCTATAGGAATACGGCGTTTTTTTAAATAGTCGATCCGAAAGGGTTAAAACAAAAAAAAGTTCGTTCCGAACAATATTATTGATTATTTTCAATTTTTTGATCTTACCAATAGAGTTTTTAACAGTTAATTTTCAAATTAGTTCTATATTCTTTTAAATAATGGCTGTTTAATTATTTTTATCATTGTAAATAACGTCTGACGTATTAGTTAATACTCAATTTTAATTTTATATCGCCTACTTTATTATCAAAAATATATCAATTTTCATATAGTTGCTTTTCTACGCAAAGAAGCTTTTCAGATTGGCTAGATTACTTTCAAAAAAAAATCCTATAAAATAAATCATATAGATTCTTATTCAAGTAAAATCTATTATAAAAATATAATGTCTACTGTTAAATAGGAAGTATAAAATTCTTAGTCATAATTAACTAATATTTGAATAAAAATTTATTATGTCTAGACTCGTCTGTTGTTGTTTTTATTTGTTTATAAATTTTGAATAATGTACTTGTAATATTTTAAGCAAACAATAGCTGAAAAAAAAAGAACACTTTAACCTTAGAAAACTTAGACTTCAATATAGTTAATTTATTTAACTTTTTTCTAAACTGATGTTGCTCATATGACAATATCTTTTTTTTTTAACTATCGACTGAAAAAATGATAAATGATATAGTATGAAATTACGTTCTTTTTTAATTCTATAATAAATATAAATTTGCACAATAAGAAAATAGTTGTTTTTTTTTTTTTTTTTTTATTCTCAGACGAGTTTATCAGAAGTAATTTTTTAACTTTTAGATTGTGTCTGTCGGTAACAGATGAGACATAGAGAATAATTTTTTTTTTATTTTTATATGATTAAGACATTCTCAAATAGCTTTTTACTTATTTTAAGTAGGTTTAATTATTTTTGTTTTATGAGACTCATCATTCAGTTATTATTTACGAAAATAAAGGTTTGTTTTTTCATTAATTTACTTTATTTTCATGTTATAAATGTTTGGTAGCACTGATAATAAAGTTTATTTTAACAAAAAAAAAACAGATAAGAAACATGCATGTATAAATATATTTTAATAGAATCATGCAATATAGAAGACAATACATAATTTGATTAAGATGATGAGATAATCATAGGGTTATTTCGATAATAATCTTAAATTTCAATTGTTTTTATTTATTATTAGTCAATGTTATAGAAATTATTACTTTATAATATAGATCACTGTTCATTCGACTTTATTAAACGAAGAATAATGTTTGTTTAATAAGAAGAAGTTGACTAAATCAAATTTGAAGAAGTAAGCTATTGGAACAATGTTTGTTCTATTCTATTTCTTTTTTGAAAAAAAAGCATTTCTAGGTACAAGAAAAAAAAAAATGCTTGCCGAGGTCAAAAAAACAATATGTAAGACCTCGCTAGACTAGATGAAATTTTATAAAAAGGTCTTCGTTTTGGAAATCTTAGATTAATATTGAAATTTATTCGAAAAAAACAATTTAAATACAAGGATTAAATAAAGTTAATAATTATGATAAAATTACATTTTTTTATTTTTATTTTTTAAGAATTATAATAATTAGTTCTGATATTTGAAATTTATTTTCTAGAAAATATTTTTTTTTCAATAAGAATTTTAAAATTAATATAAAATTTTGTTTATTTTTTGATAAGATATAAAAATATTTATTTTCTTAATTACAATTTCAAATATTAAACGTAAGATTAAGGTAATATCATATCAATCGAAAATAAAAGGTAGGTTACTATTTTTTCGAATAACTTTTTAAAGGAACGAGATACAAAACCTGCGATTTTCACCATTCGAAAGAGTACTGTTCGGATCATCGGTCGGTTAAGAATTCATTAAGACGAAAGATGGCTTTTCTTTTTATAGGTATTTACGGATCAACATTTTTTTTCTTTGAATACATTCATCCAATTTTCATAATAATCTCAACTCATATTATGTCAAAATATAGTTCAAATCATCCTTTTTACACTATAAGATTATTACATATTTCATGTTCTCTCAACCTTTTGTTCTAAGTGAATTTTAGAAATATATTATAGCAAAAAACAAAAGGAATGATTTGGGCTATATTTTGAAATAATATGAATTGATATTATTGTCAAAATTGATGAAAATATTCAAAAGAAAAAATGTTGATCCATAAATATCTATAAAAAAAAGCATCTTTCGTCTTCATGAGTTCTTAACCAACCGATGGTCCGAAAATTGTAGTTCTCTATCTTATTCCTATAAAGAGTTATTCGAAAAATAGTTTAGATCATATAATACAATTAACTATAAATATTCCAAAATAGTTTAAATTTTCAATCTTCTTGCATAGAAACATATACGCCTATTGATGTTCATAATGCTTAAAGACATAATTATTGTCATTATTGTAAAATGAGACATCGTGATAAAACGGTATTTAAAAAAAAGAAGAAATTAACCAACATTTACATAAGCTTATTCAAGAAATAATTAATCTATTAATTATGAATAGTAATTCATGTCTAGATCTCTTAGCTCAGACAATAATGAATAAATCTAAATTTAAGAATTTCAAGTTTATTCTTTCGTAGTAATTACTCGTAAAATGCATTCATTCACTCTTAACTCGATAAATTTAAATGTCACGACATAGTGACTTATAATTGCTGCAAAAAAGATAATAACCGGATGTTTCCTAGATGACACAAGAAAGAATTCATTATGATCTATAGTTTAAAAATAATTTATATTCTTCTCATAAATTCTTTGTTTTGTTTTGCTTTTTAGTAATCAAACTATATTAAGTTTGACATTAAAATACAATGGCTCTTCGTATTCTCTCATTATGTCTTTTTATCTTTATGGTATGTATATTTTCAATTGAATCATCACCACTAATAGATGATATTCTTATTGAAAATTATCCAACACCAAATCTTTCTCATACATCATTACCTACAATACATCAATTTAATTTTATTTCATTAATATGTCAACAACAAGAACAATATCCAATGCGATTAACGAAAAAATTATGTTCACACTATATTCAACCATACAAAATCCAAGAAGAAAATGAAGAACAACAACGAAATAAACGAGTTGGATGGACAATTAGCGTTTAAAATAAAAAAAAAAGAAAAAAAGAAATTAGACATTTAAAATTCATGTTTTTAGTCTTTTTTTTTTGAAAAACAAAAATAAAAAAAGAAACAAAGACGAAAAATATGAATCAAAAAAAAGGAAAAAAATTCATAGAATTTACAAACATGATCTTTTCATACGTTGTTGTTGTTGTTTATCTGGAATAATAATACGATTTCGATTAGAAAGACTCATTTGTTGATGATAATGATGATGTTTATTCGTATTTGAATTTACTATACATGATATACGAATATTTTTTAAACTCCATAAATCACTAAGAAGTCTTCGACATTCACGTCGAAATGCTCGACCAGTTAAACAATAAAGTACAAAATTAATCTAAAAAAAAACAACGATTTCAAATAACAACACAAAAATAACATGAATTTCTTTTACTGCATGATTTAAATACATTAATATAGTTAATATTAATTGTGTTATTTGCCAATATGTTGTTGATGTATGACGATATCCAGGAATAAATTCAGCTAATAAATGACGTATTGATATAGGTAATGTACAAAGAACAAATATAAATGATATAACTAATAATGAACATGTTAAACGTATTCCTGTTGCACTTGTTGAATCAAATAATATTCGTTGTGATTTTCGTTGAAAACCATTTTTATTTAAACCATTATGATATAAACGACCATGAGAAATAAATGAACGAGGAGCAGGTGTTGATTCTAAAAATATATTAATAAATAGATTAAAATTAGAATTTTTATGATGTAATTGAAGGGTGTTTTTTTTTTGTTCTTCTTATGCAATTAGAGAAAAAAAATATTAAACGAGGTTTTTATGAGAGTTAATTGATTTGTTAAATTTTTTATGACTTATTGAAATCATAATGTCGTATAATCTTATCTAAAATGAAGTGTATGACTTGTTAGATGTTCTAATCATTTTATAACGTAATTTTAAGCAAGATTTTCATGTTTTTATCAATTTTGTTTTGAACTAGACTATAAATTTGATTCGAGTTCAATTATTTGAAAAAATTATCTTGATAGAATTTTTCAAAAGATTAGTTTTTTTTTTTTGTCTATTTAAATATTTTTGATCGAAATTTTGATATTATATTTAGTATTTTGTTTTAAAATATTACATTTGAAATTACTAACCTACTGATCGACTACGAAAAAATGGTGTACGTATTGATGATGAACTTTTAGTTTTTAAATTTGGATTTCTTTGACTTGTATTCCTTGTTGGTAAACAACTACTTGCTTGTAAATAAGTTCTTCGTTGTTTAATAGCATAAAACATTGTTGAAATAATTAATGTATTAAATATAATAATTAATAATGATGGTATAACACTATAAAAACATAAATCAATAGAAGAAAATAATCGTTGATATTTAATAAGATCACAAACAATAAAATCAGGATGATAACCATAATCTGTTTGCATTATAATAGGTCTTAAATTCATAGTAAAAAAACAATGTGATGCATAAAATGAAAAAAATATAAAGATAATTAATGTTATACCATATGCAACATGCATTCGACATATATGAATAGATTGAAATGGAAAACGTACAACTATAAAACGTTCAAATGTAACAGCAACAATAAGCCAAGCAGATAAATAAGTAAATAAATGTCTTAAATAAAAACCTATACGGCAACTAAATTTGGAATACAATTCTGGATGATAATTAAAACCAATATCAAATATAGATAAAAGTCCACCAGAATAAAGTACACATATGTCCGCAATAGCTAATAATGCTAAATAAAAATAAGATGAAAGACCACGACGTGAACGCCGAAACATAATTGTTGCTGATAACATATTTCCAATAAGACCACATATTAGAAAGGAAATTAATATTATTGTTGCTATCCATTTTCTAACACCTTGTACACCTAAATATGGTTTTGGTTTACAATGTGATGAACGTAAAATTGCCATAATAGCATTATGTGTCATATTTTCGGATTCATTATCTGATATATTTACATATTGTAATAAATTTTGTAAAGATTCACATGTTACTGAACTAAGTAATTGTGAAATATTTGTATTATTGGTCATTATTTGAATATGAAGAAAAATTGAAAAATTTTTAATCTGAAATAAAATTCTATCGAATCAATAATATAAAAAAATAAAAAGTCATCTCATTATAATAAACAAACCTTTCGTTTATATATTGTTAAATAACAACAAGTATCTCACTCTGTTGTAAATCATTAGTACGTTCTTTTTTTATTTTCGATAAGAAAAATATATATATAATTACAATACAGAAGTGATCTACTGATGATAAAGTGCAAAAGCAAAAAACAAAAAGAGAGAAAGAGAGATATTTGTATATTTGTGCAACATCACGAACATACTCACAGTTGATTTCCTCAATTTGCTTATGTATGCATTGGCGCAAATTGGAGAAATTGACATGCATGTTTATATGAAGGAAAAAAAATAGAAGACTATGAAAACAATCCATAGTGCACTAGAATAATGATCATGATGATGATAATAATGTAGGATGCTTGTTATTAGGTATTGTTAAGGAAAAAATAAAGAATAATTTCGAAGATTGATGTTTTAAAAATGTAATCAAATGAAAAAAAAAACACACACACACACACACTTCTTAGAAATATAGTATATGTTATATTTATGAAAAATAAAAGTTAATTATATATATTTTATTACTCACTTAAATCTGCAAATGAAAGATATTTAAAGAAATAAAAATAAGACAACTAAGTACAATATCTACTTAGTTTCGAGGTTGTTGTTTTCAAATATTTATACCTTTTCTCTTTGCATATATTGTAAATAGTTACATTTGATAATCAGTTTTTTTTTCAGATTAAAGAATATACACAAGACATATTTGTTCAATGAGTAAGCTATATAATATTACGAAATCATGGAAATAATCTATGTTAATACATTAATAACATATATATAATTGTCATTGATGACATCAATAAAAAATAGGCTTATCGGGTGTGTATGGCAGAGAAATAAAGTGAGTATTATGTCGCTTTTTTTCGTCTAGGGTTATACAACTCGTGATATAAATGTAAAGCATAAGAGAAGATTTATTTGTGCTTGAAAAAAAAGTACAAACGATCATAAATGGAAAGGTACATGTTCTATCATAAATAGATTTATATATAGAATTGAACACAAAGCTATAATCCTTGCTATTATTATTTCAGTATGTCGTCACATTTCCGCATATAGTCTAATTTTGTTGATTCCGTTTTGTTTTTTTTTTTCGATAAAAATACTGATAATAATGTCGATGAATAAATATTGATAAGAATCTTTAGAATTATAGCTTTTATCAATTGATATATATATGCGAAATGAAATATTTGAATTTTCTTTAATATTATATTAAAATGAAATTATTTTTAAAAATCTTTTTTTTTTGATTTATCAAATGAAAACAATTCATATACATTAAATTATACATTTCTAAAATAATAGTAGATTAAAAATTGATTGTTTTGTTTGTCAATATTAAATTTTAATGTAGATATACATTTTGTTCAAAAGTAAAGAAAAAGTATATTCTTTTTTTTCTTTCTTTCTTTTAATTTTTACTGTCAATAAGACAAGAAACAAATGTGTCAATGGCAACAGTTAGTCTACGTAGATTTTTATAATACTGAGTACGGCACTAACGTGAACAAAAAAAAAAGTTCTACGGTAATGTTTTTATATATTTGTGTGTTAGCATTATGACGCTGTTCATTACCAAGAGAAAAAGAAAAACTGACGAACAGAAAAAGAAAAGACGACTGTTTTTCACAGTAAACTTCATAAGCGCAGTCATCATCATTTATACTTTTTTTTTTTATTAATCAGAATAGTTGCACTAAAGTCAATAAAAAACTAACTATGAATGGAGCAGTTTTTATGTCTCAAACTAATCAATTTTTGGGAAATAATATTATCAATCCTCAACAACAACAAAAATGGATGGATAAACCTATAGGTGATACAAATGGACTTGCTTATTTACGTTCATTAGATTCTTTATTAGCAAAACAAGTCGTTTCTATGACTGAATGTAATTTAAATCCTACTAATTTAATTAATAAAAAATGTTTACTTACATTTTATTTTATTTTTTTCATAGTAATTATTGGAATTCCATCTCAAGCAAAATATGGAATATTCAATGATCGAGGAGAACAAGTTTATTTTGCATTTGAAGGTATATAAAAATTTGTATTGAATACGATCTTTTTTTTTGAAAAAAACATACTTTTAGAATCTAATATTTGTCAACGTATGTATTGTCCTAAAACTCGTCGTTTTGATCTTCATATTGTTGATAATACAAATCAAGTAAATATTTTTATATATTATTATTTTTATATTAAATAATTATACTTAAGGAAATAATTCGTATTAAACGTAAATTTAAATGTTGTGCTGGTTGTTGTTGGTGTGCTTGTTGTGATGGATGTCGTCAAGAAGTAATTGTTGAATCACCGCCCGGAACTATTATAGGTTTTGTTACACAAGAGTATGTTAAAAAAAAAGATAAAACGAAATGATATCGGTTAATAATAATAATTATTATTATATTTAGATGTAGTTGTTGGCGTATGAAATATATATTGAAAGATACTACAGAAAATCCTATATTGTCTATAATTGGTCCAGGATGTATTTGTGATGGTCCATATGCTGCTTGTTGTGAAAATAAATTTACAGTAAAAATTTTAGTAATTAAAAAAAAAAAAAACAATATACAGTTTATTTAATATTCTTAGTTATATGGTACTGATGGAATAACAGAAATTGGTGCTATTCATAAAAAATATCGTGGATTTATTGCTGAAGCATTAACAACTGCTGATACATTTACAATTCGAAGTAAAATAAATAAATATACATATTTAACTATGAATATTAAAATAGATTTTATTTTGTTAGTGCCTATTGATTTAGATGTAAAAATGAAAGCTGTTGCATTAGGTGCATT